TCTTTGCTACACTGTTCTCCCTGTGATCCCCCACACCAAGTGTACTAAACCTAATACCCCTCAATCCCCTTCTCCCTCCCTCCCCACCCAGCCTCCCACACCCCTCTCCTTTGGTAACCACTAGTTCATTCTTGGAGTCTCTGAGTCTGCTGCCATTTTGTTCCTTCAGTTTTGCTTCATTGTTATACTCCACAAATGAGGGAAATCATTTGGCATTTGTCTTTCTCCACCTGGCTCATTTCACTGAGCATAATGTCCTCCAGCTCCATCCATGTTGTTGCAAATGGTAGGATTTGTTTCTTTCTTATGTCTGAATAGTATTCCATTGTGTATATGTTCCGCATCTTCTTTATCCATTCATCTACTGATGGACACTTAGGTCGCTTCCATATCTTGGCTATTGTAAAAAGTGCTGCGATAAACATAGGGGTGATTATGTCTTTTTGGATCTAAGAAGTTGTATTCTTTGGGTAAATTCAAAGGAGTGGGATTCCCAGGTGAAATAGCATTTCTATTTTTAGTTTTTTGAGGAACCTCCACATCACTTTCCATAATGGTTGAACTAGCTTACATTCCCACCAGTAGTGTAGGAGAGTTCCCCTTTCTCTGCATCCTTGCCAGCATTTGTTGTTCTTAGTCTTCTCAATACTGGCCATCCTTACTGGTATGAGGTGATATCTCATTGTGGTTTTAATATGCATTTCCCTGATGATTAGTGATGTGGAGCATCTTTTCGTGTGTCTGTTGGCCATCTGAATTTCTTCTTTGGAGAACTGTCTCTTCATGTCCTCTGCCCATTTGTTAATCAGGTTTTTGCTTTTTGGGTGTTGAGGTGTGTAAGTTCTTTATATATTTTAGATGTTAACCCCTTGTCGGATATGTCATTTACAAATATATTCTCCCATACTGTAGGATGCCTTTTTGTTTTGTTGATGATGTCCTTTGCCATACAAAAACTTTTTAGTGTAATGTAGTCCCATGAGTTCATTTTTGCTTTTGTTTCCCTTTCTTGAGGAGATGGGTTCAGTAAGAAGTTGCTCATGCTTATATTCAGGAGATGTTTGCCTATGTTGTCTTTTAAGAGTTTTATGGTTTCATTACTTACATTCAAGTCTTTAATCTATTTAAAGTTTACTTTTGTGTATGGGGTTAAACAATAATCCAGCTTCATTCTCTTGCATGTAGCTGTCCAGTTTTGCCAACACCAGCTGTTGAAGAGGCTGTCATTTCCCCATTGTATGTCCATGGCTCTTTTATCATATATTAATTGACCATATATGGTTGGGTTTATATCTGAGCTCTCTAGTCTGTTCCATTGGTCTATGGGTCTGTTCTTGTGCCAGTACCAGATTGTCTTGATTACTGTATTACCACTTTCTCTTAACTCCTTCAGGAGATGGACCAGTATATAAAAGCAAACATAGGTATATACTATACTCTTTTTTTATTCTCCTTTTCTCCCTCTCCTTTTCCACAAATGGAAGTGTCTCTGATCATTCCATAGCACTACATAAAGATCTTCATTTTAAATATGCAGTTCCATAGGATTTCACTGAATTGATGTCCCATTATCTAACCAATCCCCAATTGGTAGTTTATTTCTAACTTACTGCTATTAAACAATGCTACAGTAGATGACTGCACATGTTTCAATTGGTATATGCCATGTTACATGGAAGTTATCTCCTTGCCAGTCTTCCTGGCTTGGGCTAGACAGGGAATGATGCTTTATGCATCTTCAAATGCACCTGCTGCTAGCAGGGCCTCACATGTGGTAGGCGAGCTGTTACAGTGGGCTGGGCTGAAGGTATTGTGCAAAGACCAAGTGTGTTTCCATGTGCTTTGCCCCCACACAGGTCTGCGAGCCGCAAGACCTCCAGGCCTTTAAGGGTCTGTTGGGGTTATTCTGCTTGCTGCCCCTCCCGCACCTACTTTCTGTCTCTCCCAGTCCTCTGTGTGCCCAGGTGGTAGCTGAGCTTTACCATTGCCTCATCCAGGCTCCCACCCTGCTTCCCCTGGGGCTCATCAGTTGGAAGGACTGCTGGGAGCGGGGACAGGGACTGAGGTCCCCGCAGGGGTGGGGCTCCCTCCAGGTGGGACCACAGCTCCCTCTGAGGCTCTGGCACTCACAACACTGTCTTCTGCCCTTGTCCTTCAGGGCCAGGGTAAAACCAGCCCCCTGTTAGCACTGGGAGCTTCTCCTCCCTGTCTGGATCCCTTAACCCTGCCCACATCCTGGTAAATCATTTTGCCATTAAATTATCTTCCATTAAACTCTGCATGGAATTCTGTTTCTGCCGGTACTTTCACTGATAATGGGTCCCTTCTGAACCTGAGAGTCTACTGTTCTAAGCCTTGATAGAGATTTCCAAATTGCTTTTTAAAAATTTAACAAAAGCTGGCTGCACAGGCTGTCAAACCATAACCTATCCTCCCAAAGCTTTACAACAATGGTAATGAAGAACCTAAAAATCCTTGTTCCACTGTGACTACTTTGCCAGCATCAGCATTTGTGATGCAGCCCAGAATGTTTAATAAAATTCACATGGGGTTTAAAGAGCATTTCAATGGCCTCTGCACAGAGGTTCTTTTCACTCACTGAGGGAGCAGATAGGAACTGAGAAAAACAGAGCAAATAAGGCCAGAAAGATCTCACGTGAACTAAGCAGTACTCTGCTTTATACATTCCTTATGATGTAGATAGTGTTTGCAATGTGTGCATTCCTTGAATAGCCTGTTCACTAATGGGCTGTGAATTGCATTTTTATGCATCTATACATTGCCCTCCAACCAATTAAGTTGAGAATAGGTTTTTTCCCTCCTGATGAATCGCTGAGCAATAACCTGAAGAGTCTTCAGGGCATTGAGATTGAATCTTTGTACTTTTGAGTTGTAAGGATGTCTGGTTTAAAGTAAAACACAATGGCTGCAGATTACAGTGTTGCTCATTAGCAAGGTTGGTGCTTTTGAAAGTGGTGATTAGAATTTTGCTTCAGGGAGGACCAAGCTGCAAGTCCACACACACAGTTTGCTTCTAGACGTTAGCAACCAAGAATTTTAACCGGCACACATAAAAGTAGACCCGTCATTGTGTCTCAATCAGTCTGCTGTGAAGATAGTAGGACCTTTCTTAGGCATACATGAAATCCTTTCCCCACTTTAAAAATAAAGGATAAAATGATCCATTTATCTGCAGCAAATAAATGGAAATTCCTTTGGGAAGATACATGCTACATATATGCCCATATGTGTATATGCATCTGTGTACATACCCAGGAAAGCAGATGTTTTCTCCTGCACAACTTCAGGAAGAGCCTTTCCTTTAATGGCAGTATTCATATGGGACTAAATTTAGTAACATGTCGGTTTGCTTCACACAAATTACTTGTGCTTATCTCACATCCAATCTTACATATTCTTCCGACAATATTTTCAGTTAGAATAGCATTGACATAGCAATAATAAAATGCCTTTAATTTTAATCAGGTGGGAGTGTTGCTCTCACTCATCATACTGACGGACTCCTTTCTGGCTGACTAGAGATATGACATTGTCTTGAAAAACTCTGCCAACATTATGGTCTTAAAAACATCATGGTCATTTGGTCATCTTTACATTGGTGTTTAGGTCCCATAACACTTCAGTGTGTTGAGCTTTATTAGGTGCATATGACTAGCTTACTGACTGTGGGAGGGGGAAAAGTGATTGTGTTTCTAAAGGAGAACTAGGCCCTGTTACTACCATTACTGAATATAAAATTGATGTTGTTCTGTATACAACCAATACTCAGTTTATATAGGAATTGAAAGTTTCCCACGAAACCTCTCTCTTTTGGTCCTTACAGTAACCTTGTGATGGGCTAATATGATTGTGGCCATCTTACAGATAAGGAAATTGAGGCTCTGAGAAGTTAAGATCACATAGCTTGTGAGAAATGAGCTGGAGATGCTGAAAAGAACTGAGGTCTCTGACCCAAATCTATGCTTTATGGGCTCCACTATGTTAATGCTAAGGCTTTACCTTTACTGCCTTTTCATGTCTAAGGAATTTCCCAGAACAACTTTGACCTTGAATTTTATGGTCCTGAAAACATAAGTTCATTCAATATAATGAAGAAAAACTTGCTCAGGGAGATTCTCCATAAGATAGCTTTTCTGTTCTGCTTTAGAAGATTGATAGAGAAATGGGAATATTCGTTACTAGCATAGTGCCATTTAGTGGGGCTTGGCATGCCTCGAGCAAAAATAATTTTATCATTTGAATCACTAATTTTCAATAACATATAAGTGGTTTTTATTAAGTATATTATATACTTATTCTTCCTTGAATTCTCTTAATAATCTGCATAAGAATCCTTTGAGGAAGAGATCATTAGCCTAGTTTTATAGACAAATGCAAACCAGTGTCCCAACCAGGCAACAGTAACAAACATAGTCTTTCAAAGTGAGCATCTGCAGAACTCTGAGCTTTGGAGAGCAAAAGAAATTGCAAGATAGCCGTCAGGACTCCTGAAGAAAGAACAGGAATAGTTCCTCTCAGTATACTGGCTAAAACCAGCAGCGAAACATCCTGATGCTGAAACGGTCAGTTTGCAGCCTGTGGCTTTGTTGTACTCTTGGAATTCTGCCTGAATTCCACTGATCAGGTAGCCCGTTAGACTCTGGCCCATCTGCTCACTTGGTTTTGACACCCTGGGTCACTGCCATTCCTTGAGGCTCCATCCCACTGAGCTGAACCCGCCCTATTGCATCAGTTTCCTGCTCCCTATTAGACAGTAAAATCAGATTAGTGCTCACTCTCTCATATTGTTTTTCCTTAATGTCGTGAATGTTATTACATCAATTACACAGTAATTCACTTGGGCAACTTAGCTTAAAAATAGCTGCTAGCATTATGATTAGCACACATAATATGGGGGGGGATCACAGGGAAGGCAGTATAGCACAGAGAAGACAAGGAGTGACTCTATAGCATCTTACTAAGCTGATGGACAGTGACTGCAATAAACCTTCCTAAGATTGTATATAAATAATAACTTAATAAAAAAATATTCAGGAAGTGCAGGTTTTGGGTCCTACCAGACATGACATCATTTCATTGCTAATATGAAAAATGTGTGTGTGTATGTATTTCAATAATGAGCTTTACACTATTGGTGAATGATTTCAAGGCTGTATAAACATAGCACCCTCTTCTGTAGCATTAAAAAAAAATTAGCTTCTAGTAAACTTTCCAGTAAATTGATTCAGTCCTTCATTTACTCCTTCTCTGGGGGCCTCCTCAATGCCAGGGGCCATGCTAGCCCTTGGAGATCTGTTGTTGACATGGAAGCCATTCTCATGGGGCTCATATTTTAGTCAGGGAGACGGATCAAGTGTGGTCAAATGCGTAAATGTAAAACTGAGATTGTGATGTGTGCTAAGAACGTGCACAGTGCTGGATGGGAATTTGGTCTATCAGGTCAGGAATTCTCTGAGCCAAGGAAGAAGAAGTAGGCTTGGAGACAGTGACGCAGGCGAAGGCACACAGCAGAGGCTGTCGGGAGGGAGGGGTATGGAGTGTGAGGCACCACGGAAGCCAGGGCGTGCAGCCCAGTCAGGCTCACTGGGACTGCTGGGCCAGGCAAGGAGCCTGCCTTCATCCTAAGAGGTGACAGGCCTGAAGTTGTGTTTTACAGGGAAACTCTGGACACTGCACATAGAAAAGGGATGGAAGCATGCCAGAGAAGATGCTGGTAGACCAGTGAGATGACCACGCAGTAGGCCGTGGACGACTAATCCAGAGAGAGGAAGCTAACTTTAAGCTGGGAGGCAAAGTTTGTGAGGGGTGTCACCCACTCTAGCTTGTGTAGACCTTACTCTGCTGCCTTTATTTCCCTCTTCATACTTTCTCACTTAGTCACCAATGCTCAGTATAATAGAATGGATGCTTCAGGAATAAAGGAATGGGCAAAAGGTTAGTTATTATGCCATCCTTCTGCTTGTGAGAGAAAAGGTTAAACTTGGAGCAGAGCCACATGCCAAGAAGCAAATATTACTGATAGTGATGCACTGTGTTTAAGTTCTCTCCTGCTCCTTGAGTCACAAGATAATGTATTCCAATGCATTTTGAAATTAGTTTCTTGACCTGTAACATGTTGAAAGTGGTCTTCTGGGGCACAGGTTGAGTAGCCTCTGTTTTCTTCTTTGGGTAGTGGGCTGGAGAACACCCACTCCAGGCAGCCTGACTGGTTGGATCAGCTCCTGCTCACCTCACTGGGCTGTTGGGAGAATTAAATAGGTTAATACATATTAAAGCACTTGGTACAGAACCTGGCACATAAGCTTTCAGTAAATGATGGTCACTCCTGTTGTTACTTTTGCCCCCAAACGTTATTTCCTAATAAACCATATTATATGCAAAGAGTTATCATTAAACTGCAAGTATGACAGCAGTGCTGACCTCTTCATGCTGGGGTGGATGGTGACTTACCTGTTTCTTTATATTTCATTGTATTTTTCTAAGTTTTCTAAAGTAAACATGCATTTCTATCACATAAAATTTTATTGCCTTCTTTTTAACTTAGATTATTGCCAACAGACAGGTACAAGAATTAGAAGAACAATTGTTTTGTAACAACACACAGTGCTTGAAATGTTCCCAGATTCACCCTCAGGAAGAAAGAGTGACCAAGCCCAGGGGACGGCTGGGTCTGAGTCGGGCTCACCTCTGGGACAATGTTGACAAAACAGTACCAGCCATTCCTGCTTATTACTTTTTAGCTCCCAAGTATTGTCAACAACTGACAGCTGTGTTTTTTTAAGAGTTATCAATGTCACATCACTAATCCACCATCTAAACCAGACCTGTCCTCAGTGAGGTGTTAATGCTAAGAGCACCTGAACCCTCCAGCTCTTTTAATGTATGAACATTTCAGAAGATTTTCAAGCTCCACAGAAGTAGTGACTTTCCTGTATACCCAGAATATTTTAATCCAGATATTTGTAAGCCTCATTACCACTTACAGATTCAAAGGTCAAAGGCTACCCAGATTTTACACACCTCAGTGTGACCCACAGTTAAGGCTTCAAGATGATAGCTTTACTATCCTCATACATTCACCAATGTGAATAGGCAGGAGGAATGAACAGCGTTCAGGAATTAGACCAGGTAATCAGGTGGCGCCAGGAGTTCACAGAACAGGTACTAGAGAAAGGTGCAGTCCAGAAGGTAAGTGAGGGAATCTGGCTCTAAGTAACTGGAATATCCCAAATGGTGGGGACAGGCCTGGTGGATGAGGATAGGTGACACTTGGAAATGCAGGCACTGGCAGCAGGAAGGCTTGTCAGTGGGTGGCAAGACCATGTTATTGGACTGGCCTCATGAGCATTACCACCTTCTCCTCTTTGTGGGGGGAGGGCTTCGGGGTTGGGAGGTTTGACAAGAGGATCCCAAAGGGGACTTGGTACTGAACAGAGGAACAGAGCACCATGGTTCATGGGAACAGGGCAGAGATCTGGATCTCAGAGCAGAGCCAGAGGCAGGAGAACAACAGCTGGGGTACGTTAACACCAAGGTCAGGGTCGGCCTAAGCATGGTGCAGAGCTGAGCCTGTCAGTGGGGAGCCAGGGCTGGAGCCGGAGCCGGGGTGGGGTGGTATCCAACCTGGGGGAAGGAAATTAGGCAGGTAGGGACTAGATAGAATCTGCTATTAATACAAATAGCGGCTGTTTGCCAAGCACCTACTACATGTCAGATGCAGCACTAAGACTGCATACAATATCACTAAGCTTGAAACATCCAGGCAAGATAAGCATAATTTCTATTGTATGAATGAAGGAATTGGGGCTCAGAGGATAACAGCCCAAGGTCATAGGGTTAAGAAGCAAGCTGAGGTCTGCCTGGCTCCAAACCAGCAACCTTTGTGCGCCATATATATCTTTACTATAGAGAGCAAAGTTGGCTCCATTTTTTTGCTCTTAGGAGCAACATCAAACAAAACATACCATCTTAGCCATTTTTTGGCCACATGAAAGAATATTTGACAAAGACCAACTCAGAAATTAAAATTCCCTCAGTAGGCTGGGGCAATGGGCCTAATGTCATACATTAAGATTTCATAGGTCAAACTTAAAAGTTTTCCATTTATGTTCAAAGAATCAACTGTACCAATATGAGATTAGTGGAAGATATGACTACACAGCACCTTAAAGCAATCTTCTGGCATACTGTAAGTTTAGTTTATATTAAGGTTTATATTAAGGGGATGACTTTAAAAACAAATAATTCCATCTCAGGCCACTTTTATAAAACAATAGTGTTCTGTCCAGGAAAAGAGGTCTCCCTCTCCATTCTACACACCCAGCTGCACCTGGAATATGGGGCTCAGCTCCGGGTACACACTTCATGAGCCATTTCACAGGCGCCTCCAAGCCGAGTCTACCACCACTGAAATTCAGGTGGGTGCAGGGTGTCTAGCTGGTTGATGGGCAAATGAGCCTCTTGGGAGGGAACAGAACCAGGTGGAAGAGTCAGGCAGCTGACCTTGGTTACAAAGCCTTAGGTGTTGAAGGAAGCAGTGGTCTGGGCACAAGTTTTGTTTGTTATTTGAGTTTATCTCCAGATTCAGGTAATCCCTCCTCTTCAAATTCGTATTCGATTCCTGTGGAGAGGGGAGGGGATTAGAGCAATTAAACAGCAATGTCACCAAAACGCTCCAAAGACTTTGGGGCCTTTGGGGCTTAAGAAACCCATCCCTGCTACTTGTGGAAGTTAATGACCCACACGGGCATAGGAGCAGGCTTCCTGCTTTGCCACAGAACTCCGACATTTCCTGGCTTCTGATGCACCACCAAGGGTCCCCAGGGTGACCCATGTCAGCCCAGGTGGCAGAGGGAGCCGCAGCAGGAGGGGCTCCCCATCAGACAACAAGCACACGTGAAATGCCCGGTGGGGATGCCAAGAAACACCGCAATACTTCCCAAGGGAGCTTGAGCTGTGAGCCATGTGTGACACACCTCGAAATGCAAAAATGGGAAACACTCTCAGTGAGTAATAATTCAAAGATATTTTAGTTTAATAAAGAGAAGACATGTTGGGATATGAGAGATGTCTTTCATTGTTCGGGAGTGATTGGACAACGGCCAGAAAGAGGAACAGTATTTGTGAAGTACCTGCTTTTCATTCATCTCTTCAAAACTCTGCCAAATGCTTCTCATTTCTTATCTCATTTGATATCTCAGCTGTCATTCCTCTCTTTTTTTTTTTGGATATTAAAAATAATTTTTTTT